TATATACATGCCATTACTCTATACGGTCTCCTCAAAAGATCCCAGTGGCCCTGTAAGTGTAGCCATGGTTGCTGCAACTCCCTTCTTTCTTTTTAATTTTATTTTGCAGCGTCTGGGCTCCACTGATCTTAGTGTAGCAGTCAGTTCTCACCCCAACCTTTCAGAACAGCAAAAAGATTTGTTTGCTTACACTGACTTCTACTTCTGTTGCTGGGGGCAGCACAGGTATCCCACTCTCATCGCCACTTTGTTATATCGTTGGAGTGCCACAGTTTAGAAAGAAATCACTGGAAACAGAGAGCTTAAGCCAGGCATGTCCGAAGTCCGGCCCGCGGACCAATTGCGGCCCGTGTTCCGGTTTAATACGGCCCCACAGGTAATTTGGCAATATCTACCAACGAATCCATATGTATTGAGATGAATACATTGTAAAATCTCAGTTAATGTCAATTGGTCTAAATCAGTTATAAATATATTTGGACACAACATGTAGACTTGGTGTTATGTTCCTGTTCATATTTTTTGAACTTAAAAGTTGACAGACAACCTTTATTACCAATAATATGTAATGTACTTTACAATGTTCCTGACATATATTTCAGCTTCCTGGATTTTTTTTTCATCTGGCCTTCAGATATGAAAGGCAGAGTGATTTAACACCTGTTTAGATTTGTCATCCATGTGACGAAATGAAAAGTATGCCGTTTGCAATAAACTTTGCATAAAATAGTTAATTTGCATTTAATTTTAATGGTTCAAAGAATGTCAGGCAAAATGGTCGGCCCTCACGCATGTTCACTTCATCAAATCTGGCCCTCTTTGAAAAAAGTTTGGCACCCCGGCTTAAGCAGTTGCAAGTGTCCATTTGTTTTATAGCACCGAACTAACTAGAACCAGCCCAAACCAGCTGGGCTAACCCCTAGTGACCTAACTCAGTTACTGTAACAAGATCTATGTCTACAACCCCAGTACAGGCAGTCCCCGGGTTACGTACAAGATAGGGACTGTAGGTTTGTTCTTAAGTTGAATCTGTATGTAAGTCGGAACTGGCGTCCAGATTCAGATTTGTTTTATAGCACCGAACTAACTAGAACCAGCCCAAACCAGCTGGGCTAACCCCTAGTGACCTAACTCAGTTACTGTAACAAGATCTATGTCTACAACCCCAGTACAGGCAGTCCCCGGGTTACGTACAAGATAGGGACTGTAGGTTTGTTCTTAAGTTGAATCTGTATGTAAGTCGGAACTGGCGTCCAGATTCAGCCGCTGCTGAAACTGCAGACCAGGGAGACGGGGGGGCAAAGCAGAGCCAAGCCGCGGAGCGCGTGGGCAGCGGATAACCCTGTCCGCTGCCCGCGGGAATTATTGATTGTAAATAGCAACCATCTTGAAAAGGGGAAGGGGGTGAGGGGCAGAATCAACCTCAGCCTACCCCTACCTGGACGACACACAGGAGAGAGATGCTGTGTCCTCTCACATACCTCTTCCTAACCCTTTCCTCCAGAAAGGATCTAGTTCTCCTCAAAGGGAGAAAGCCTGCCAGAGCCATTTAAGTGCTAAAGAAGCCATTTAACAGCATTTGCCAACCCAGGTATAGACTGACAGTTTCTGCATTTACCATGTTAGTCGACAGGACCTTCATTTTTAAAAAAAATTGCTTTAAAAATGTCATTAATGTGTTGCTGAAGATTATAAAATCACATCTCTACAATATTATTATTCCTCCCTCCCCACCCCCGCCCAGTGTGGTGGTCGGGCACAGGAGCATCAATTTAATAGCACAGGCAGTCCCCGGGTTACATGGATCCGATTTACATCGGATCCCTACTTACAAACAGGGTGAGGCAACCCCGTACTAGCTGCTTCCCCCCAGCAGACCAGGGAGACGTGAAGCTAGTGCCCCCCCCCCAGCAGACCAGGGAGACGCGGAGCAGCTTTTGTCGCCCCGGAGGACGCGGGCGGGAGGACCATTGCGCATCTGGGCATCCTGCTGCTCCCATCCTCCAGGGCAAGAAAAGCCCCATTCGTAACTGCGGATCCAACATAAGTCGGATCCACGTAACTCGGGGACTGCCTGTACACAACCAGAACATGGACCTGAATTAGAGTTTCCTAAATCTTAGGCTAGTGCAATAACCTCTAGACCATCCATCCAACTCCAAGACACACAAAAACTGGATTATCAGGGCTTTCATGCAATGCAAACATTTCTTCCCACGCCCACCCCATGAAGATGTCAGTCAAGACAGTTTGAGAAAACTGAAGGAGAAACAAGCACACCTCCCCACGCAAATGCAATTTCTCAAAGGAGAGGTCAGTTCAGCCACTGTCTAAGCCAGGGTTAGGGAACCTTTTTTGGGTCGGGGCTGCTGACCCACAGAAAATCAGTCAGAGGAAATTGGCACACCAGCATGGGCTCCCCAATTCTGGGGGGGAGCCCTAAGCCTCGGGAGCCAGATCCAGGCAAGCCAGGGGCCGCATCCGGCCCTCAGAACTAAGGTTTCCCACCCTGGATCTAAGCAAATCATACTGAAGAAATCAATGGAGTTAAATGTCAGAGCTGCATTTAGACCCTGATTCTGTGCTGAATGCAACTAAACCCTCAGTTCATTCTTCTTCAATAAGCTGTCTTTGCAGATTTTTCACTTCCCTGTTTAAGACAGAGTTCTAAGTCTAAGTTTCAAACAAACCCCTCTAGTTCTCTATGTAGAAGTACAACAACAAAAATAAGTGCCATATGTAGCAAATAATTGTGCAACAATGGTCAAATACAACAAATATTGATACAAATCGCTATGAAGGACACAACGGGTATAGACCCAAAATGAGCTTGCACAGCCGACACATCATATAAAATACAAAATAGTACTACACATATATTATCACTTACCCTCCTTTGCTGACCTGAACTTCAGAGTTAGTTTCTGGATGTTGTAAATGTTTTTATTTTGTATTAAACTCAAGCAAAGCTGACAAGTTACCATACTGCCAATATCTTGCCTCTGCTCCTGTTTACCTCAGGATACTTCTTTTCCTCAGTTTTACTGACCTTCGTAACAAGTACAAATACACACACACACACACACACACACACACACACCCCCCACACACACACACCCCCCACCCCCCCCGGGTATAAAAAAATCCAAGAAAAAAAAGCAACTTCTCTAAATTATTCCTGCTACTTAAGCCTGTTCAACTAAGTCAGAGTTCTTTGTATAATGCATTGGCTTCTTCTCCAGGAGTACTGTCTAGATGACTTTTCCAGAGTTTTAAGAAAACCCTATTCCCATGAAAATCCTATCAGTTTGAATGAGTTCAAGCTAACTGAACAAAAGCGGTCTTCAGCTACAATATAATCAATCAGAAAAAAGCAGCCCCAAATAGAAAGCCAAAAAAATGTCATTTGTTCCACAACTCACTCAGAGTAAGATGCAGTTTATCTACAGAGTATGTATTACAAACAAAATAAACTAACAATTTTCCACGTCAGGGGCCAAGTTCTATTGGCTAACGTATGTAATGTATTTATAGCTTCCACTGACTTTAATGGAGGCCATGCATGCATCAAAGGAAAGAATCTGGCCCCAAATGTATTCAAGTCATTATATTTTCTCTTGGCAATAAGAGGTTACTATGGATACTATTGCTCTGAAAGGGACTGAGATTTTGTGCAGAGCTGGCTAATACAGAAGTGGAATAATGGAACTAAAGAGATGTAGATGTTCTTTAATAGGGAGAATTTTTTCCACAGATTTAACTTCCCAGGGTCTTGTTTTGTAGGGAAGTCAGTTGGTGAAGTTCCCTGAATGCAAGCATTCCAATTACATTGAACAAAAAGGACTTGCCAGGAGTTACAGCCAAAATTTTAATAAAGGAAGTTAAATTGTGTTTAATCAGTTATTTGAGTAGTGGATGGAATTTCCACCAAACCACTCGATTAGTCGATAAGGGAGAAACTGCAGAAAAGCCAGGCAGCTCTTACTACGTTTAAAAGGCAGAGGCGCAACGCGGGACCAGGCATGAGCCAGGACAGCTGAGTCCCAGCTTGTGCCCAGTCTTCTGCTGTGCTTTTGCCTTCCCTCCCCCCCTTGGAGATGGTGGTGGGAGGAACTGGCTTTTAAACCTGCTCCCCCCCAGCACTGGCTCCTGCTCCCCCAACTTCCTGCCTGATAAAGGCAGGGAGGGGAAAAAGCAACTAGGTGAGTAGTGACTCAACTACCCAATAAACCTTGGCTTATCAGGTAATCGACTAGTCGCTTACATCCCTAATTTTAATAACAAAAAAAATTTTAGTCTTAAATAAATAAATAAAAACTTCCAACTAAAACTAAATATTCAACATTTAACTAATAATGTCATGTTAGAGGACATTCTTCAGACAGGTATTAAATTACAGACCACTGAGAGGAGGAAGAGAAACTAGTACTGGTTTCTTTTGAAGTATGTCACAGAGCATCTGCTTCTGTAGCTAATTAGTTTCCCTTTTTCACCTCTTAATTTTACTGGGTATTAAATGTTTGTTTAAACTAGCTATTTGGGTTTGATAATAGACAAAATGCTCAACACTATCCTCTTGACTGTTGCATATTTTATATAGATGATCTTTTTGTAATTTATTCTTTTATCTTAAACATGAATCAAATTTTTCTCCCTTCCTTAAAGTTGCCCCAGAAAAGCCTGGGAAGATAGCTTTCAGATAGCTTGTTATTCCCTCAGCAAGAATATTTTGTGTGTGCGTGTGTGTGTAGATTATCACATTCCTATGTCTTATAATCCCACAAACTTATTTTTTAAGGAAAAGCGGGGGAGGGGGAGGGAGAGAGAAAAGAAAGGCCAGTGCCTGAGCATGTGCTTTGAGATTCACTGTATGTCTATTAGATGACTAAATCCTGTCCAGTAGACTCCTGGAACATGTTGTAATAGAAATCAATCCATCAAACCCTCATTTACAACACAACACAACATCATTCAAGGCCAAAGTACATTAGATTACTCACCTTCCCTCATTAACTTTTGCTTTGTCTCCTTGACATGGGAAGTTTTCAATGTAACCTAGACTGCAGTTGACCTGTGCCCAATCAGGCTGGCATACAGACAGGAAATGAGGTCGCAGTCTACCTATGGAGTACTTGGCAATGTCCGTCAGGGATTGGCTAGCAGCTGCACCAAAAATGAAGGTCCCAATGGCTTTGTAAATAGTGGCTATGTAGTTATTTCTGACAAATGAATTTGAGTGCAAACAGTTATAATAGACAGACAAGGTTTCTCCTACGATTATCTGAAAAACAGAAAGAGACAAAGACAAGTTAAATGGAGAAACACACCTATGTCTCTTCAGAGTCAAAAAGCCGCAACAGCAACTGTCAAAAGTCTCAGTGACATTAATACATGTATGATTTCTTGTTTTAAATCTTGTACTGTTGTTGAGGGAAGCAGCAAAGATTTTCTGGGAGTCACTCAGAAGTATATATTCCAATAACCAAGCTGACATTTTAAATAGATTTCATATAAACAGGAAAATTTGTTCTCATTCCCTGCCTTATAGTCAGTTGTAATGGTGATAGTGTGAGTAGAAACACTGGAGTCTTCCCCCCCCCCCCCCCCCAAAAACCACACTGTTCCCATGCAGTTACTTCACACTGAAACTGATGAGTAGCCCCCTTCCCAAGAGATATTTTATTCTAAGTAAACTTTGTATTCATTCTTGGCCTTCTTCTTAATGGAAATGAACATCTGTGTCAAAAGCACGATGGTTTTCAGAAGTCAGGAACTTAACTGAAGGGGCTGAATCTGAATACTGGTGCCAAAGGTGGTAAAGGCCAATTATGTAAAATGGGAACCTCCTATTCCTCTGTTAAACAGAATCTTTAAGACAGGCTTCCTCTAGGAAATTACGTTTTAATACAAATAATAGAGGAGAAGGCTTCATACTTCTGAATTTTTTTTTCTATTTTTGGCATTGTAGTGGCAGAACAAAGATTATTCTCTCTGTTTTCATAAAGCCAAGAGGCTTTCACTATTGTCTCCCTTCACTTCAGGCTCTTGTGAGAAATGGGTAAAATTGATTTTAATATAAATATAAACTAATGTCCATAGTCACTGAGGAGAAAGAAGCAGAAGTGTAGGATCTGAATCAATCAACTATGGGGATAGGGGGGAGAAATCCATCCCATTAAGGCAACTGACAATTTTTTTCCTTCCATACACACATGAAAAAGCAGTTTAGAAATAATTGAAAATAGTTGGAATGGTTCTAATTAACAAACCATGGCATTGTCCTACTTCTGAAGACACAAATAAGAAAAAAAAACCAAACAGAGCTTGAGGGCTTCTCTATAGCTTTTTCCACTGTCTCCGTTGTTTAAACCTGTGCAAAATAACTGTACAATGCTGCTGCTGTGATTTTACATCCACTTTGTACAGATGTAGGTAGCTACAAAAGATAAGGCAATGGATGATCAACCATGTGTACAAAACTGAGTTTTTACTCTGTGTCAGAGCAAGACATAAAAGTTTGTAAACTCGTCGAATGTAAAATGTTATTTAGGCACAACAAAAAGTTAGTAACCTCTTTCCTACAATCTCTCAGACAGTAGGGATGTTAAAAATAGTGTAATATGGTAACCATGGAACCACTAAAAATCTTGTTGGCTACAAGGTTACATGTGGTGGGGGCTCTGCGGTACAACACTTAGCTTTATAGTACTACAGTGAAACTGCAGCAAAGCCTCCCTGGGATCAGGGTTGGCAGCTCCTAGGAGCCACCTCCCTAGTAGTGGAGTGCTCCCCTGGAGTAGGAGCTCTTGCCCACTCAGCTCCCAAGGAAGAGGCTTCGCTGCCCTGCTGCAGCAAAGCCGACTCCCCGGGAACCAAGTGAGTTTAACCGATACCACTAACTAGTAAGCATCAGCTAATCGGTTAAACAGTTAATCGGTTCAACTCCAACATCCCTAATACACAGGTGCTAACTACTGCTGTGATCATAATGGTCACAAAGGGAGCCAGTACAGAAATGGCCAGTACTGTTCAATGGCCATTTGAATTATGTCCCTAAAGTCAAATCAAGACCCTTTCCATTGACTTAAATGGGTACCATATCAGACCCTCAGCTCCATCTTCGTCTGGAAGGATGGTTCATGACGGGGGATTTTTGTGTCAAAGTAAGTAAGTGAGTATCAGTTACTTCATTTTACAGCAGCAAAAACAGAGCAGAGTTTAGTCCAGGGTTTTGAAAGCTCTCAGTGAAAAAGTTTTGCTCACACAAAACTATAAATTGCCTATAAAAAAAATATTTAAAATACAATTAGCAGTTCTGGAACTGCTGTAGTGGCAGTGGCTACAAAAAAGTGACTATAAGTAAAGGCTATCTTACTGTGGCCACTGGCTGGGAGTCTGATCTCACCCTGCTAACAACTAGAGCCCCACTGAAGACAATAGGGGTACATCAATATAGAGAAATCAGAGCAGGGCCCTGAAACCAAATTTCTTCCTTTAATACTTGGTGCACACAAAGCGAGGAGAAATTAATGAGAAACAAGACACCATAATTTGTTTGTAACAAAAGTGCTTATTTACTGCTATGCCAGCTTTAAAAAAAAAAAATCTCTGGTGGGAGGTCTATTCACCGTCTTATAAATTAGTGAATTTTTTTTAAGTCCCTTTCAGCAAGATGGCTGCTGACATCACCAGAAAATAGATAAGAAAAAAACCTGATATTTTACAAGTTTAGCATTTTCATAGTCATTTTCAGAAATGGTGATGTTATTAGTGGCCAGACGTCTCTTATATCAATGGGCTGATTCCCCTTCTCCCCCACCACCCGATAAAAACTTCCACAAATGCACATGCATTAAGCATGGAACAGAGTGGTACTGTACTCAAAAAACATGCTTCTAGAGCAACAGGCAAGACCCAGGTGATAAGGTGCTGGATTGGAACATGGCTGACCTGGCTATAAGTTCCAGTTCTGTTACTTAAAGTGGAAACGTGGCTGTGACCTTTCTATTACAGAAAATCCTTTAATTGTAGCAGTTGCACTTAGGCATTTTATGCAGGAAACTGCATTTTATGCAGGGCGAATGCTTCAGCCTATGTTATGTAGCATATTAAACCAAATAATCACTTTTGCCTTTTAAAAAAAAGCCCTATCAACCCAGAAAAAGAGTTACAATGTTAAGCTTTCTATTTATATTATTTTTTTTAAGTTTTTTCCTGTGGGACAACAGAGTGACATCACCACATCACTCTGCGTCCCACAGCCCCTCTCCCCTCAGTCGTCCCGCATCTCCTCCCTTCCTCCCTCTTTCCCACCACTAATCCAGCAGGGTGATCGGCAACTCAGGGCTCCTAAGCAGCGGCAGCACTGAAGGTAATCTGCTGCTGGTAGGATTCAGGGTGGAAGGAGGGTGGAAAATCGTGGGGCGCGAGGGGGCCAGGAGAGAGGCCTGCAGTTGTGGGGGGAGGGTCACCAGACTGGTAGACATCTGGCCTCTGAACCAGACTGGGAGGCACCCTGGCCCCTGAGCTGGAAGTAATCCTAGCAGCTGCCATGTGGGAAGCTGCCTGGAGCTTCAATTTGGGTATGCACTACACAGGGGAGGGGCTGGCAGCAAGGCCCATGGCAGGGACAGGAGGTCCTGCTGCAGAGACCCAATGCAGGGTGGGAGAGGACCAAAGTGGGGGTCACTCCAGCCCCTCCACTGAGCTGGGAGCCACCCCAGCCCCTGTGCCAGGGCTGGATGTCCCTCCGGCAGCTGCCCACCCTCGTGGCAGCTTCTGGAGGGACAGCCAGCCCTGGCTATGGGGCCAAGGTGCCTACAGCACTGGATTGTTCCTTTCGCAGCTTCCGGAGTTTAAACTGAGCTGTGTGCTCCGCTGTCTGAGGCAGAGGACAAGGAGGGAGGGGGCAGCAGCTGCGTGGGCTCAGGTGTGGGGAGGGGAGTGTGCGGGAGCCACAGAGCCTCAAAGGGGCTCAGGTGGGGTGAAGCAGGGGCATGCAGTACCTACGCTGTATTCCCGGTGGTCTGGGATAAGGGGAGTGCACAGGAGCGACACGGCCTGCCCCCTCGCAGCTGGAGGGAGAGGACTGGGCATCCAGCTCCTTTCCCCGTCCCAGCCCAAGGGAGAGGGGCAGCCCAACTGCCCCCGTCAGGATGGCCACAGGGAGGGAGCCGGGCCTGCCTCCATCTGGCACAACTTTCTGGTGCCTGGAGTGGGGAGAGTGGTGCCAGCACCTGGCCCTCCCTGGTGGCCAGGAGGAGAGCCAGGGCTGCCTACCCCCCAGAAAGGGGGGTTGGTGAGCATAGCGAGCAGGGGGCACTGCCCCCTAGTATATTCATATGTACCCTTTCAGATTTAAATTTAGAGCACCCTCATACATATACAGTTTTTAATTTATGCCTGTCAAGAACACACTCATGCTCTACAGAGGAATAAATAGCTAGAGTATTTCAGCTTTCCTCTATTACTCCACTGAGCACAGACACTATGAATACATCATTTAACAAAAAAACAAAACAAAACAAAAAAAAAAAGTAACTGAGTCCCATGATCCTTACTTTAAAATGGTTAAAAGCCTTGAACTACTTCTTGAGCAGGCAGCATTAACTATAACCAAGGTTAACTACTGACTCTAATGGTAGTCTTTTGCACCAAGCACAATTTTACTTTTGGTATAAACAAAATATCCAATGTAACAGGACTTGGAAAAAAAAAAAAAACTATCCTGCTTATTTGGTGTAAATTAAGTTATAGATATTCTACAAGCTACTGTTTGCAATCAATTCTGACTGGAAACGACGGTGTTCTACTCTTCAGAAGTCAGAATTTACAGCAAGGGTGGAAAATAGTTTTTGGTGGGAGGAGGCCACTCCAAGAATTTGGAAAGTGGTCATGGACTGCACTCTTCCATTATATTGATGGAGGAGGTACAGGGTCCGGGGAGGGAGATTGGGTGCAAAGGAATCTTAGGGTAAGAGACTGGGCTGTAGAAAGGGATGCGGGCAACTATCCATCAGGTTTCTCAGGCAGGGGCCATGTGTGTCTGAATAACTGAGAGCCTGGGGAGGGGAGGGGAGAGGAGGTATTTTGTGTGCTGCCTGTCCTTTAAACAGATAGCTCCCCTTTGCTGAAAACCAGCCAATGAGATTGAACTGAGGACAGCATGTGAAGCTCTTCCCCCTCCCTTCCAGGGCACTCAGCTGTTCAAAGACAAATGGTATAAACACTTGCAGCTTTTCTGTCTGGTGTACAGGGGCAGGGCAGGCACAGAGCTTGCCT